TTAGCTCAGATGTTGGGTGTTCCTCCACCATGCTCCTCACAAGTTTCCCAAAAGCATCCATTGAATCAGTGTAGAGCGACTAAAAACACAATGCAAATAGTGAGGTCTAGGAGCCAAATTAGGAGATCCATCAGAGGATCATTATCTTCTGATTAGCTCACCATAATCACTTATTTGTTTCCAAACTTTATTAATGGTTGTAGAAGAGAGGGATCTCTACCTACGGGAGGGATCTGACCTTATCTTGAGGTTTCTTTTCAAAGTTCGTATATTTGTCCTGCAGATGTTAATTATTTCCTCACTGAGAAAATATTTTTTTCCGCTTAGAATTATCTCCCCAACAATTATTTTGCTGACTTGTCTCTCCAGTAGGAAGACAACATCAGCTGGGCAAGATTATAATAATAATAATAGTAAAGTTGGAAGGGACCTTGAAGGTCATCTAGTCCAACCCCCTGCTCAGGCAGGAAACCCTATACCATTTCGGACAAATGGCTGTCCAGTCTCTTCTTAAAAACTTCCAGTGTTGGAGCATTCACCGCTTCTGGAGGCAGATTGTTCCACTGGTTAATTGTTCTAACTATCAGGAAGTGTCTCCTTAGTTCTAGATTGCTTCTCTCCTTGACTAGTTTCCACCCGTTGTTCTTATGTGTGAACATGCATTGAAATCTGTTCTATACAAATCCATACTTGTACATATTGTCTCTCTCCATCCATCTGCTCATCCATCAATCTATTTTTTCAGAGTATTTTTTTTTTAAAAAGTGGGATTAGTCAAACCCTGAGTAGAAAGGCAATTTTGAAAAGATTATCTATGGGGGTCTTTGTTGCTCTATGAGCTTGGTTGTTTTCTTGTAGATGTTTCATTACCAAAGTAGGTAATATCATTGGTGCTAGTAGGGAGTGGGGTTAAGCTCACAGTCCAATCAAGGAACCACCAAGACATTCCCACCAATATTGACAGGACTAGTATATAAAATGAGAGCAAATCCCACTCCCTACTAGCAGGGATGATTTACCTAGTTTGGTAATGAAATGTTTACAAGAAAAACCACCAAGCTCAAAGAGCACTAAGGACCCTGCTGTTCAATCCTAAACTAAAAATAATCTATCAGTAAGATAATTTATATTAGTTTTTCCACTTTGATACCATTCATCGATACGTTAGTCATCTTTAATAACCTAGCCAGATGATTAGGAATGATACAAGTTAGAAATGCAAGGGGAGGGTATGACTGGACTGGATATGACATTGATATTTTTTATGGTCAGAATCAGATAAATAGTTGTATTCAATCTCAAAGCAGATGGTTTAATTAAACCAGCATCATCCTATATCAGGCAGTGGCCAGCTGGAGATTTTTGTTTACAAAACCCATTAGCAGACTAGAAAAAGAAAAGGTTCTAGAGAAAAACTCCCTCCAATTACCTCAATATATAAAGCATCCCTTTCTGTCTCTCCTTTTTCTTTCAGCTGCTCCAGAGGATGGAGGGGAAACAAACTTTTGATGCTTTGATCAAGAAGATTGCGAATGTCCTCCATATTCAAGGATGGCTTCAATTTGCTACCCATAGAAAGATGGACCGAGAGGTCATATATTAAAGATGAAAGCTAAAAATCAGCCCTTAACAGAATGGTAACTTGAACTGTCATCTGAACGATGAATAAGACAAAACTTGGAATTTGCAAGGCACACCATGCAGGAGTTCCATGTCCTTTGTCTATGTTCTGATTTGAATTGATTTGTTGGGAGATAATCAGAATATTTTCTTGAAAGATGGGAGAACTATATTACCATCTTACATGAGCCAAGAGAAAATAAAGGTTAGTGACAGAACTTCGGAGGACATTGTATGAAAATAAATTAGTATTATAGGGGTTTTCTGGACACTGGAAAGGGAGAAGCTTTTCAGAGATAATTGTAGATTTGCAAGTGATTACTTAAGGGGTGTTTGTAAAGTTCAACAATAAAATACAGGTAGTCCTCGACTTGCAACAGTTCATTTAGTGACTGGTCAAAGTTACAACAGCACTGAAAAAAGAGATTTATGATTGTTTTTCACACTTACGACCATTGAAGCATCCTCATGATCATGTGATCAAAATTCAGACGCTTGGCAACTGATTCATATTTAAGACGGTTGCATTGTCCCTGGGTCATGTGATCATTTTTTGCAACCTTCTGACAAGCAAAGTCAATGGGGAAGCCAGATTCACTTAAATCATTCAATTAACAATTGTGGCAAGAAAGGTCGTAAAATGGGACAAAGTTCACTTAACAAGTGTCTCACTTAGCAATAGAAATTTTGGACTCAATTGTGGTCATAAGTTGAGGACTACCTGTATTGTGGATTGCGAGAGGTTAGTCAAGGTAAATGTCTGGTTTTGATCTATTATTATCCACTTGATCTTTCTATGGACTCCCTGTTACAAAACTTTTCATTAACCAAACACTAGATCACCCTTCCTCGGATGAGTTGTAACCATAACTCCTGAGTTCCCACCGATTTGTCAGCTGGGAATTCTAAGAGTTGCAATCCCAATGTGTTTAGAAGATGCCCAATTAGGCAAGGCTGTCCTATGCTTTTTAATATAAAATTTCATAAGTCACAAACATGGAACCTGGCATGAAATAAAATATTTACTATATAACTATATAGACCAGGGGTGGGGAACCTTGGCTCTTTTATGACTTGTGGACTTCAACTCCCAGAATTCCTGAGCCATCCATGCTGGCTCGGGAATTCTAGGAGTTGAAGTCCACAAGTCATAAAAGAGCCAAGGTTCCCCATCCCTGATATAGACTTTCCAAGGACTAGAAATATCTACCTCAAGAATGCCATGGCAATGATGGCTTTGGGACGAAGGGGTGTTGCCAAAGAATCCAGTGGTTCTTCTCTAATGAAATCCTGAGCATACAAGAGCATACATAAGACAAAAAGAATGAAAAATATACCATGGGAAAAGGGATTTGTAAAACCAATGAATTATGGCAGCATTCCTACAGTTGAATGGCCTTGGGCAGAGTGCTAGAGAAATGTTGTTAGAAAATTCTGGGAATTGAAGTGCCATATCTGAGACTGCCAGAAGTTACACTCCAAAAAGCCAGCCAATGGATGACTTTGAATACTATAAACATTTAGGCAAGGAGGAAGAAGATATATATGATTTTTCAAAGCAACTAGTCTCTTAGAAGAGAGCTAACTGCATTTGTCTAAATATATCATAACAACAAATTCTGGAGCAAGAGCACAATTCTGCCAATTTGAATACAATTTGGTTGGGCTCATTTCTGGTTAATGCCCTATGATTTTAAAAAGAAAATCCTTTTATAATCTTTGCATTAGGTTTTTTAAAAAAAAAATTAGTAAAGCAATGGAAGAATAGATACAAATAAATATTTTGTAGATTTATTTAAAGCTTGCAGAAGGAATAAAAGCACATATTAGAATCAGTATTATTCATTGCAGATCAAGTCTAGAATTGGCTTGCAAAGCTGGGAAGAAATTGGTATCATGACCTATTTGACAAATTTGCCATGGGCTTTGAATTTATATTAGGCAGGTCTTCATAGATCTGATTAAGGGTCTACACATCAAAAGTGATCAAAGCTGAACGCATATAAAGCAGAGGTCCCCAATCTTTTGCGCACCAGGAACCAGTTATGTGGAGAGAGGTTTTCCCGTGGACTGGAGGGTGCGTGGTTTTGTGTGCTGCCTGCATCACACCGATGGGGCTTTGCTTGTTTGTGCGGCCCAGTTGCTTGCATACTGTAGCCCAGTACCGGTTCACAGACCGGGGGTTGGGGACCCCTGATATAAAGTGTGTAGGACTCCTCCTCCTCCTTCTCCATAATAATGGTCTACTGAAGTTTAGAGCAGAACATCAGTGCTGCCACAATTATAGGGAAGAAGTCAGTTTGAAGGGATGTATATTTTCATAATGTGATTTGGAGAAGTATTTACAGGACAGCTTTGTAAATGGAATTATTGAAACTAATATATTATTGTTGTTGTTGTTGTTGTTATTATTATTATTATTATTATTATTATTATTATTATTATTATTATTATTATTAAAAAGGGGGTATAGGAAGGACATCTACATCTCTCTTAGCATTGACTTTACTTACCAATAAAATACCAAGAAGTTCTTTCTTGCAACTTAAGGTGAAATTCTGAAAGCTCCGAGTCTCATGGATAGCTTGGCAGATATCTGTTGTGCTCTGAACAAGGGCTAGTTTGAGATTCATGTCCTACATTAGTAGAAGAGCCAGCGCGTTAGTATGGTTAGAGTTCAAGACTAGGAACTGAGGTTCAAATCCTCACTCATAAAGTTCTATTGGTGGCTATTAACCTGCCTCATACAAATACAAACAGATGTGTTGTGAAGATAACACAATATACTAAGGTGAGCTGTCTGACTTCTTTCCTCCTCAGAGGAAAGACAGACTGTAAATTTAGTTAATAAGATTCATCAGGAAACTTGATATTACATGGAAACAGACCAATCACTAATCACTACTCACTCACTAATTGAGTGATCAGCAACACTGAACCAATACTAGAATCAGACGCAAGCAGTCTTTCAAAATTCTTCACCAAATTTATGGGCAAACAAATTGGATGATTTCTCTGAATTTCTTCAAGGAAAGGATAATGTTCTCTTTATAATTATAGTAACGCATACTTGAACAAACATAGGCACGCGCATGCATGCGTGCACACACACACACACACACACACACACACACACACAAAGTCAAAACCAATGGACAGATTTCTTATCAGGCTCCAAAACCCAAGAAAGACACTGGTGAGTCTTCCAAGTAGATTTCTTTATTATTCCACATCTGTAGACAGAATCTTGCCAACTGAAGCACCCTACTGTCTACAACAAGTATATCCTCTGGGAACTATTAGTGAGGGGCTGTCTTCACCTTCTTTCTCTCACACAAACTATCTGAAATGACCTGCCTCTTATTCCTCTGGAATGCACCCCCTCCCTCCTGGGAATCCAGACCATCACATTCTGTCACAGTTCTCCTCTGATGTCTTTCCTCCCAACTGAATTACTGTAATGTATGGGAAGCCAAGCACTTGAGGGCCACTGGAGAGATGGTTGCACAATAAAAGAGAGAACATTCCTGCATAGCTCCTTTGTAATAAAGAGGGAAGTGCCAACAGGACATTCATGCATAGCCAATAGTCACCTTATCATTAAATGAAAACTGCATTCCACCCAGGATAATTTTTTTTTTAGAAATTCTCTTCTCTTAAAAAACAACAACCCTTAATCAAATTTTCTTCCATAGAATTGAATGAGGAACTGGTTAAAAAATAACATGATAATTTCTTTGTCTAGAAGGCAAATGGAATGGTCTTGAAAGGAGGAAGAGCTGCAACCAAGGCAGTGTTCAGATCACTGGGCATGTTCCAAGAATCTAGTTAGAGAATGTTTCAGGCAGGCCCCTTCTTAGATTACAAAAGACAACATGAGGAAGGAGGAAGCACATTCCGATTTTTGCCGCTAGGAATTGGGCAGCATTTAACTATATAGTTTGCAATAATAGTACTTCTGACATGTATTGGTTTCTTAGTCTGGTCTATCTTTTGGGCTGACAGGCACTAATACTCTTCCCATCCTCCTCTTTTTCTTGAAGAGAACAAGGACATAACAGATGTCGATCTGCTTTTATGTCAGCAAAGGTCAGGTCTTTTATGACTTACCTTGTTTTCAATACTGAGGCCCAGCACCTGAAAATGAAACAAGAATCCAAGGAGAATTAGATAACTTTGCCCAATAACAAATCAAATGATACAAACAATGCACTGTAAAAAGAAAGAAAGTGAAGCCTATAGTCTCCCAACTTCCCCTGTTCAGCTTCCTATAGTTAATAATATGCAGGTGAGATTCTACTGCTATGCAATTTGTTTATGACGCCTGACCTCTGTCAAGTGGAAAGTTCCTTGACCATGGAAAGCAACAGACCATTAGGCAATTTATTTGTTTTGTATGCTGCTGCAATTAACAAAGACCCAGCAGAGATTCCACACTATAAGTAGATGGGTCTTGATAATCCCACTATCACTTCCATCCCAAACCAAGAAGATTGTGATATTTCTAGTTCCATCTCAAAGATTGCTCATGTCAAGCATTTGCAATGGTGTAGGGATATAGGACGTTGACTGACCCCTGGGTCTAACCAGCCCAGGATGCTCTGCTCTAGATCAGGGGTGTCAAACTACCAGCCCACGGGCCGGATGCATCATAGCGAAACCACGCCCACCCCATTGCCGGCAATGGCAAAAAAGTCACGATATGTCACGACACGTCACGTGATGTTGCGAGTTTGACATCCCTGCTCTAGATGAATTTTGCAGGTTTAGTCACTCACCCACAAGCCTTCCCTTTCAGCCATACATAAAGACCACAGCATTTGCTGGAAAGAAAAGAAGGTTACAAAAAAACCCAGACATGAAAAGTCTGTTTCTCAGCTAGAGAGTCAAAGGTCTTGCACTTGCCTGGCAGCTACTCCTGTAATGGTACAGAACTTTTTTCATTATGCTCTCCTCCACCCTTGAGAGCAGGAGCTCTTTTGGTGCTCGCAGCGCCACTTTGCCATAGGTGAGCATCAAAGTTTGATGGGTGTAGCTTCGCCTTCCTCGGTAGTAGTCCTGAGTCACATAAGAAAATTAAGAGGCAGAGCAGGTTTTTCTCCAGCTTGGTTGCTTCCTTACCTCACATTTAATTTTAATCTAGAACGACTGTCTTCCCCCCCCCTTTTTTTGCATAGATTTCAGCCAACGATTGCCCATACCCTTTAATATTTTCTTTGTTGGCCTTCTGGTTTTCTGTAGAAAATATGTAGATTTTTTTTCTGCATAAAATTATTGTAGCCCCACTTAATTATCAATGTGAATGGGGAAAACACTATTATAGCTTACAGAATTACTGTACAATTATATTTAGTTTTAATTTCTAACTTTCTCCTTGTACTTCAACTCTTTTTTTTAAAACTGCTGTTTCCTCTCAGATAGACTCTCAATTGCTTCCTGGTAATCATTTTTTTAAATGTTACTATTTAGTGGCAATCATGAGGGTGAATATCTAAGGCAATGCTCTGGCTTAGTTCTAAGAATTGTCTTCAGAGTATGTAAGAGCACAAATGCAGTCATCATTCATTGGCATCCTTCAGTTTTGAGAGACCTAAGGCAGCATCTGGTGTGGCTGAAAAGGCCAATTCGAGAATGGCAGTCCCTTCCACACTGAGGGCAGATACAATCTGTCCCCTGTCCAGCCCCCAGATTTCGCTGGTTCTGGGACTGCCTCTTTGCCTCAGCCTGCTGCACAAGTGTCTCTTCAAATTGGAGAAGGCCATGCTGCGTCTTTAGCCTCCAGGCTGAAAGATCAGAGGTCAAGGATTCCCAGCTGTTAATGTCCATTCCCAAGGCCTTTAGGTCCTTTTTGCAGATATCCTTATATTGCAGCTCAGGTCTCCCTCTGGGGCGCTTTCCCTGCACTAGTTCTCCATACAGGAGATCTTTCAGAATCCGACCGTCAACCATTCTCACGACATGCCCAAGCCAGAGTAGACGTTGCTGTTTCAATAGTGTATACATGCTAGAGATTCCAGCACATTCCAGGACTGCGCTATTTGGGACTTTGTCATGCCAGGTGATGCCGAGAATACGTCGGAGACAGCGCATGTGAAAGGTGTTCAGCTTTCTCTCCTGCCATACATGAAGGGTCCAAGACTCACTGCAGTACAAGAGTGTGCTCAAGACGCAGGCTCTATAGACCTGAATCTTTGTATGTTCTGTCAACTTCTTATGCAGTAAGACTTGATGATTTGTTAAAGCAGCTATGCCTGTTTCAGGATCTTGCAAAGCAATGCATAGTCCTGCTTATTTCTTCTTTGAAATAAAAACTCAAGGATTTGAAAAATTCAGTTTCCTGAAGTTTCCTGAACTTCAGCTCCTTGGCTGGACTTGCACATAAACCATAATGCAATTTATTTGGCATTGACTGAACATACTGGACATACTAGAAAGAGAACAAAGAAGAGCAACAAACTTGATTAGGGGACTGGAGGCTAAAGCATATGAGGAACGGTTGCTGGAATTGGGTATGTCTAGTTTAATGAAGAGAAGGACGAGGGGGGACATGATAGCAGTGTTCCAATATCTCAGGGGCTGCCACAAAGAAGAGGGAGTCAAGCTATTCTCCAAAGTGCCTGAAGGCAGGACAAGAAGCAATGGATAGAAACTAATCAAAGAGAGAAGCAACCTGGAACTAAGGAGAAATTTCCTGACAGTTAGAACAATTAACCAGTAAAACAATCTGCCTCCAGAAGTGGTGAATACTCCAACACTGGAAGTTTTTAAGAAGAGACTGGACAGCCATTTGTCTGAAATGGTATAGGGTTTCCTGCCTGAGCAGAGGGTTGGACTAGATGACCTCCAAGGTCCCTTCCAACTTTTTTATTATTATTATTATTATTATTATTATTATTATTATTATTATTATTATTATTATTATTATTATTATTATTATTAACCCTGTACATGTGAACAGCCAATCATTTATAGTTTATTCAATAAACCATGGTAAAACAATCATGGTTTAATATAAAGTACAACTCCAGCTAATGAATTCTAATGATAAAAGCAATATGCATCACTGAAAATAATTTGTATATCATCACTTTCCCTCCATGGGTCTTAAATTCTAATAGAAATAAAAAAGGGTTTGGTTGAAAGAAGAATGTTGTCCATATGTTGTAAAGTGGAAGTAGAAGAGTACATATTAAATTCAACATGACTTACTATTGAATGGCATGTATTAGTGCTCAACTACCAGCTCATTTACCTTATAGCGATTAATAATCATAGACATCTTGATTGTCAAGTGTACCCCAGCTCCAAATTCATGCAATATGGCCAATGTTAGATCCAAATGACCCATGGCAGAAAAGGACAGAATCTGGATGACTTTCTGTAAAAGGAAAAAAAAACATATTGGCCAGAATGATGATTCCCGCAGCTTTCCTGGAAAGTTCATATGTTGAGAATATCCTGGAAAAGTGAGGTTTGCAAACTTGTCCTTTAAAAGTGTCCACTATGGCTAATCATGCTGAAATCTGCAGAAAACTGTTATCCTACACCAGGGGTGTCAAACAGCCACTCCATGGGCCAGATGCATCATAGCAAAACCGTGTCCACCCCATTGTAAAAAAGGTGCGATACGTCGCGACACGTCACGTGATGTTGCGAGTTTGACACCCTTGTCCTACACTCTTCTCATGAGGAACAGCCATCTGGAGCACATGTGGGCAATCTCTCCTTCTTCTCTTTATCCAGAGAGGTTCCAAAGAACTGATCTAGTCACTGGTTCCTTGGTCAGTACTGATTTATCAACTCCGCTTTCACAGAGCCATTTTCAGCTCACCATACTGCTTAGATATTGTTCTTGCACCAGAAATAGTTAATGGTCTGTTCTTGCACCAGAACTGGTCATGTCAATCAGTTTTAAAATGTGTGGCTTGCAACTAAAATTCTAGATGTAGAAATTGGTGGGCTCCAGGCCTTGCTTAGCCACAAAGCCACAACATTTTCTTTCTTGGCTGCAAAGCAGGCGTGCAATCACCAGGTAAAATAAAGAAACATAATTTCAACAATAGAAGAGAGGCAAAGATTCAAACAAGCAGCTTACATCTCTCTCAGATGTTTTCATATAATCAGCATTTTCCATCAAGTTCTGTATCGTACTCTGAACAAAAGTTAAATCCTCAGAACTTGTCAGAGAAATTCCCAAAGATTTGCAGAGGAAACTCTGAAAAAAAAGTGAAAAGGGAGAGTACATTCTATTGAACACTAAATGAACTATATTATATTTAATTTGCATATAAAATTAAAAATAGCATTTAATTAAATACATGAGCATGATAATTCCATTTTACAACAGCAAAAAATGCAAAACACATGCAGCAGTCACATACAAACCAACAACAACAGCAAGAAATGTCTACTTCTAAGCAAAACCCTTTATATTTGTGTTATAATTAGCTGGTAAAACCAGATTGGTTCATATATAAGAACCAAAGCTTCAAGTCATCTCTAAGTCCTGCACAAATTAAGTAGAAATGTTGCTTTCAGAGAGGAACTAATAAACAAAGAAATAAACAAAGAAGCAAACTGACCTTTTCAGTTGACTCATCAGCATAACTGCTCATCTGACTTTCCAATTCTCTACTCAAATTCTGAGTCCATGTGCTATCACCAATGGTTTCCAGAGATCTTCTCAGAAACTACAGAAAAAAAACAATCAAGTGTTTTGGATTATTGCTGTTATTGATTGACTAAGAAACCCTGTGCTATAGTATTGCTACTTGAATACCTTTGCCTAAATTTCTGCACATACAATGGAGTTACTACATCGAAAGGTTAGCAGAAAAACCTCTTCCTGGCTAACTATTATCATCAATCACACAAGAAATTGGGTTTATATCACACCTTCTATTCTGCAGAGCACTCAAAGGGGCTAAAAGAATTTAAAAAATAGAAGCAGAATATCAAATATTAAAAATGAAAACTAAAAACAATGCAAAAATCAATTGACAATGAAAAGCGCAGTGAAAGAATGCTTCTTTACCAATTTCTTTTTTTAATTAATTAATTTTTTAAAAAACAGAACAGACAAGTGAAAGACAGATAAAGAAATAATGAAAAGATACAATATCAAAAAGTTTCCCAAAGGTACTTTTTTTTCAAAAGGCAACTGGACTTTTTTTTTCTTTGAAAATGTTTTGCTTCTTATCCAATAAGCTTCTTCAGTTCTCAGAATTAAAGAAGCCTCTTGAATGAGAAGCAAAATGTTTTAAAAACAAAACAAAACAAGAAAGTCCAGTTGCCTTTTATAAAAAGCACCTTTGGGACAACCATGGCCTGGATTGAGAATCTCCATAGACAATATCCGAAAGTAATCAAAGAAGTTGTAAAGTTATACAGTTAGTGCTCAATATATTGCTGATTAAGGAGAAAGAGAAGTTATTAAGAAAAGGGGAAAGGAATTTTAAAGGGCTTTTTAAATTTCTGATCTGAATGCCTGTATCTCCATTATATTATTATTTAAGATAAACCATCTACCAAAAAAGAAAAAAGAAAAGAAACTGGTATAAAAACAAAAGAAAAAAATAGAGATTGATGGATCTTGCTTTTTCTCAAATTATAGCATTACTTTCTCCTTTTCTTCCCTCAAAACAGATAACAAATGTCCCAAACCAATAGCTCCCAAAGCACAGAAGACCCAATGCAAAAACTCCTAAGCTTACAAAACTTCAGCCATTACAATCCATGCATCAAAAACTCCAATGTGATTTAATTTTTCTAGCAACAGAAGTAGCATATCTGAAAATCAAGAATGGCCTGGACCAAAGGTTAGAATTAGGGTTAGGCTCAAGGCAAACATACACAGCATTCCTTCATCCAAATTTTTCCCCACAACAGAATTGTGGGTTACTATATAATTCCTCCTCTATCTGCTGCTTCTCCTTCTCCATCAGCATCATCTGCTCCCTCTGAGAACGCATCACAGCTCTTTAAAGAATAACATGCCAGTAATCAAGCCTATGTCAGATGAAAAATTAGCGGTACGGTATCTTACCTGCAGCAGCTTCTGCTCCCATTGCTCTTTGCTGGTCTCTGTCCTTCCTGCAAAAAATGATAAAAATGAATGTTTCACTTGGATTATGACAATTACCCATTACTTCTTTTTAATCACGAAACTAATAGTACACCTATTTTTACTTGTAATATATTGTAAAGTACTATTTACTTATGAAAGCCAGTTTGGTGTAAGGAGTAAGGCACCAAGCTAGTAACCAGAAGACCATGGGTTCTAATCCCATTTTAGGCACCAAGCCAACTGGGTGACTTTGGGCCTGTCACTCATTCTCAGCCCTAGGAAGCAGGCAATGCCAAACTGCTTCTGAAAACTTGCCAAGAAAATTGTATGGACTTGTCCAAGCAGTCACCAGGAGTCAAAAATTAACTTGAAGATACAAATTATTTCTTTGTTTACAAAATTCCTACATGATGTGAGACCTTATGGTTGCTGTTGCACTCTAAGGAGCAGTTAGGTTTGTGTTGCTGAACCTTCCTTCATGATGCACGACAACATCCGTGCCTGAGTGACTGTGTAGAAAACCGGGACCTGAGTCTCCCGGCTTGGTTTCAGACCTCGTCCGGGGGCTGATTCATGAGTTGTCATATGAAGACACCACACCACGTTTCCTCGGGATGAGATCAGCCCAGAATAGTCTCTGGGGACCTCTTTTATTAGCAATCATCAAAGCAAATTGCAGGCAGAAGCGACAAGCAGGGGGGTGAGCCGGGGGAGGCAAACAGGGGAAGTTTAGGAGGTTAGAGACAGCCAAAGTTTTACAAAATGTATCTTATCTATTACATGGCTTATACAATTAACAGTT